GGCTGGGCCCGCGGGAGAAGGTGAGGCTGGGCCCGCGGGAGAAGGTGAGGCTGGGCCCGCGGGAGAAGGTGAGGCTGGGCCCGCGGGAGAAGGTGCGTGAGAGGGGAAAGGGGCCGTGCAGAGCGGGCTGGCCCGGCGCGTGCGCTCAGCACCCGCCGCATGCAACGGGCCCCTGAGCCAGCCCGTGCCGCGGGCTGCCGAGGGGAGGCCGCAGAGCTGGCTGCAGACCCGTCAGGGTGCGTTCCCCAAGGTGTCAGGGGCTTGGTCACGCTCCTGACATGCAGATGTGCTGTGTTWACCTTTTCTTTACAGCTGTTGCTGTGGGGGGGAGGAGGAAACAGGAACTACAGCACCCCAGTGCACGGTGATGGTTGACTGTTGGTGAGCCATTCCTTTCTGCTATTTGAAATGTGCTTCCTTTTTGTCTTGGAAAGGTAAGAAATAAAGGTCCTTAATGCCCGTTTCATTGCATCYCTATGTAGTTACTGAGGCTGGTCTACGAGAGGGCCATTATCTTCTCTGAACATCTGTTGACCTATAGGGGAAAAAAATACTCTAAAGGGAAGAGCTGAAACTCTTGAGCTTTACAGTGATAAGAGGCTTCTTTCATATGCACCAGAATAAGGTAGAGCATGGATTTGAAGTTTGATTTTATTTAGGTAGATACGATCTTGGAAGACATCGAGTTAAGGCRGAATGAGTTTGTGAAGCCAAGCTAAAACTTGTTTAGTTACTGTTCTCTGAACATTCCCCTTTTATGCCTCCAACTCATACTAGGTGTTAGTGCACTTTATTTTTGTCCCAGGCATCTGGGCAYTGCCTGTAACTCTGTGCTGTGTGATGATGTGGGCCACCAAACGTCCAGCACTTACCCTAGCAGGAGTGCAGCAGAAATGGGAGGAAGTGCAAGGCTCTGCTGTGACCAAGGTGCAGTAGAGGAAGGGTAAAGAAGAGGGTGGAGACATTTCTGCAGTTTTTTTCTTTCTATTTTGACAGTATGTGGTAGTTACTCTGTGAAATACACTGGCAGCCCATAGCTCAGCATGCTCATTAGTGAATGTTTATKTGATGTAGTTTGTGTCCGAGATGGGAATGTCCAAACTTCCACAGCTGCTGATGGGTGCTTGATCTAGTATCTTTCAATACTGATGTTGGATCTGGCCTCTTTTTACTGCTAGACAGTTCCTGGTTGGATACTTTTGTTGTCTGATTTTAAGACTTGTGTCCTTGCACATTTGAAGTCAGATTTAACTTTCAATGAGAAGCTCTCTATGGTGCAGGAGCTCAGGTAGGTCTGTGAAATGCATTTTGACCAGTGCTGTGAGGAAGACTAATCACTGCTCCAATGCTGCCATCTATGGATGTCTACCCAATATTGCAGCAGATCCTTGGGACAGCAATAAACAGGTACAACTGGGTCACAGAAGAGAGAGAGCCCTTTATACACCTGCACTGCTTAGGCAGCTCTGCAGTGCAGTTGGCTATAAATAGCAAAGAGCATTTTGACTGTCACTTAGATTGGAGTTATCTCATGAYGTGTAAACTTGCTGCTCTTGTGACTGTAGAACTATGAATTCTGTTATACAAAAATAATTATACTGCATATCCTGCAACAGGTCTCCCCTCTTGCTTTTCTTTTCTGAACGGTAAGATAAAATTCTGAGACTGAGCAAGCTATAGCTTCCTTACTATGGGTAGTCTGAATTTAACTTATAAACAGGGGTATTTAGAAGACTCCTAGTGGTGGAAGGAAAGAATGATGACAAGACTGGTCATTTTTTTCTAGCTTTATTATAGAACATAAATATAAAGACTGTAATTAAAAACTAATCCTGTATTTTTAAAAAGCCCTTGCTACTCTGGTTTGTTTTATTATATTTGTCTAATATGTTCCTGTAAAAATAGGTGAAATTGCAGCAGCTTTATTACTAAAACTCATGTTCTTTTGTAGGAGTGGGTGTTCATGTTCCAGAAGTTTGCGATTAAATTGATTTCATAAAAGCAAGTGACACTTACTTCCCTGGTACTGGGAAAATAAAAGGCCTCTTTGTCTATCTTAATAGTTAATTCTGGCAGGCTGTATATTCTGGCTATATAAGGCTATAATAATYATCATGGGGATCATCAGCTTTTCTTTCTGTCTTTACTGGCAGCATGTTTTTTTCCAATCGCTTCCTCTGTGAGGAAGGAGCAACACCTTGTTTGTTCCTCATGTTCARCCTTAGTAAAGGAAGGCAGGGAAGTAGAAATCCCTTTGGAATTCAGAAGGAAATCCTGCAGCTCATTGTTAGTGCCAAACAGTTCCGAACAAATGATAATTTTGGCTATTGTTTGTAATTTGACTCACTGTTGACATTGCCCCCACRTTGCCTGATCTGAAGAAAACAGAATATTGAAGTAGTCACTACGTGTTTAAAACATCAATTGATTGTATTCCTAGTAGCTGCTYTATGAGCATGAATTACTGATTTCTGTTTTCTTTTGAGGATTTGCTATCCTTTCTTAAAGGAGATAAAATATCCCCTCTCCATCATAGAATAAACTGCCTTGATTCTAATGGTGAGTGGTAGGACAGGTAATTATCTGAATAGGATGGTGGGGGGAGAAAGAAAGGTTTATGTGAAATGAAGAGTGTATGTGATTGGTCTCTTCAGAGAAAAAAGGAAGGAGAAGGGCTTGATTACCCTCTTGATCTACCTAAATGGTGGACAGAGGTTGATCCGGTAAGTTCAGTGGTTTCCTGAGAAGGTGCAGTTAATGTGACTGAGCCTTTAAAAAAACGTAGGCGTGAGAGAGAAGATGGTGCATTTCAATGAAATAACATCTGAGGTGGTTGCTTCAGTAGAGAACAAAAAAAAAAACCTTTTATTTCTCAAGGTCAAATTGAAGGATTTTGCTGACTGTAGGTACAAGTAACAAGAGTTGTTAATATGATTTTCTTTGATCATTTCCTCTCCGCTTTTATTTTATGCTTACTGCTTGTCCTGGCTAATGAATATATTTCTTTTGTATAGTCATCACTTTGCTTCAGACACCTTGGTCTGTAGCTGTAAAAAATGATTATACGGTAGTCCTAATGGGGAAGTATTTTTGCAAAGAAATCAGTTCTGTGCTTTTCTATTTTTTTTCTGATTTGTCATGAAGAAGCTAAGCCATTTCCTGACAGCAGCCTGGGCCTTAGAATACTTACAGGGCTGTCTTTGAGCAAGAAAAAACAAGCTGCTGCCACAGATCAGAAGAAGGTAGGAAAGATAACCTTCACAGAAAGCAGAAGAGTTTGTGAAAAACTAATTTGTAAGTATTATGAAATAAAAATAAGCAAAAACTACTATGATTTCTTATAAATAAAATTATTAGGAAAAAATATAAGCAGAACTAAATAAAATGATAATTAAAACTCCATTTCACTATTTTTATCATTTGAAGGCACGTTATGATTTCTGTTAATGTGTTCTGCTCATAATGTACCAGTTTGGGACCAAGAATTCAAAGGTACTTCAAAGAACTGGCCACACAAAAACTGATGAGTAGTATTTACTGAAGAGGAGAGCTGAGAGGTGGCCAATTAAGACTGTTCTACASTGTTACACTCAGAATTGTGAACATAAATGAGTCATATTAGGGGTAACTTCCAACTTACTATGGCTACCATGAAGATGTGTCATAATAAAGGGTGCAGATATATAGCATATGTGCTTAGCAACATGGCTTATCAGGAACTGCTGTGCTTGGGCTCCACTGTCCCGTGGTTTTTCATTAGTCAAGACCCTTCACCACTGTTAGCTGTCCAGTCCTTGTGTTCACAGAGAAGTAAAAGGCCCAGCTTTCCCTCAGACAGCAATTTGATCACTACCTGGCTGTACTTTCTCTGGGATTTTTTCAGACTTGGAAGGGGTTTTTACTCAGGCCTCAATGTTTGGCACCATGTCTATGCAGACTTGTAGCAGTATGTCCATATGTCATGAGGTGCTCTGCTT